TAAATGTACACGAGTATAAGATTACAGAACAAGCAAAATAATTCATTATTCCTAACACACAAACTTTAATGTGTTTGTTCTGTAATCTTTCACTCGTGCACATTTATTTTAAACATTATACTCATTTTTGTATTATACACGGCTCATTTCAATAATTCACGCTTAATAAACTCATTCCCGATAATAGAATTAACTATGCTTACTAATTTGATGCATATTAAATCTTTTGATTGATAGTTTTTTATGAAGTTGCCATTCCCTTTAATCATTTTCAAAATTTGAATGCGTTAGTTTTACAAAGGAGAAGAAGAAGAAATAAATGAAACGGGGAGCCAACGAAAGAAACAAATAAAAGGGGCCGGAATTACCTATAATAATCAGCCTTAAAGTTGCAAATGATTACAAATTTACCCAGTTATATCATGCACATGGTATAACTGAGTATATGATATAATTTGCGATTAATCTCCCCTGAACTGAATTATAGGCTAATTCTTTTGCTTATATGAAGATGTCGTCTAGCACCTTTTAAAATTAATATTTTTCATATCTAAATAGTTTTCATTTCTTTAAAAAAAATAGTTGTCATTTAATATTTCATCAAATTGAATGAGGTTAAGTTCATAAAACTCCTAAGCTAAAACTAACTTGTCACTAATTAAATTGTAAATTGTTTACAATTTATCATTGCATATTTATTTTTTGGTTTTTAAACCCGGTAGGCAAACCACCAAAATTGGTGGGATAAGTGTCGAGGAACATTTACCAAGTTTTATTAATGAAAAAATAAAGTACAAGGACTAGACTGAATAATAGTTATTTAAATACAATCTATAGTTATTTCACCTATTTGTGACTTAAATAATTCTGATTACATGACTATATTATGCACCAAGCTGGAATGGACATGTAAGTTTTCATTGCTTGCTTACATGACTATATTGTTCTATTGTTCAAGTAGCTGAATTGTGTACTATAACAATGCCAGTTTGATTCCTCAATTCAAAACTTCTCAGTCACACACTAGCTTTATGTCTAGATGCAAAGTAAACTTATTCAAGTAGGAGAAACCATTATATTTACGGATTAAGTTTTTGGGGTTTCTCTTAAACCATGCATTAATGGATAATTTGAAAATTGTTGGTGTCATATATACTATCAGCGACTAATGATAAATAAATGAAGTTAAAAACAAGCATACACGAGAAAAGATTATATTGATGTGTCATTTCTACACTTAAATAAATTAAATCAAACTTAGATAATAATGCTACATATAAATTCAAATCACATTAATACAAATCATTTTTAAACAAAACAAACCGTTGAGTTTAGATTAGATGACACTAGTTCAGGTAAGGTATATTATGCTTTCAATTGAATTATCCTAAATATTACCCCGTATAAAGTGCGTACCTGTTCTTTATCTTTAATGGTTCTAGGTTGTGTTGGTAAAGGGAATGCTTGGCGGTTTAACTTCTTCACATTATAGAGCTCCATTACTTTATCATAGTTCTCCGTCCACCACTGTTGAGCTTGATTCTTGTTAAATATTTCTCGACTGCCCAAATTGAATTTAACTCGGCCATTAATAAATAAAAGGAAAAAAGATTGGGGAGAAGTAATAATCACCACCCAACCAAATATAAAAACAATATACTATCATGCATGTTTTGAATTGCTCTTTTTATTAAATCAATCTCTTAGAAATGTGTTATCAACTCTCAAAGGAGAAAGTGAGAAGCGCAGTATGACCAAAACTCAAAGAATAAACAAACTTCAAGATTGACAATTTAAAATGTTTTGTTGAGCCACTATATTAAGGTTTGAAATTTCAATATAAAAGATTAACCTATATTGAGAGAAAAGACTATTTTAAATACGACGGCTTGATATTTTATTTTTTTAAGGTCATATGACGTAAGATGCTTCACATAACCCCTCAATATTATGGTTCATTGGAATTGTCTTGAATGATGATGCATATAATTATCGAGGTCTCACCTCGATCAATTCTTAGGCTTCAGGATAGCAGTCTGCTGAGCCCAGGCCTCGGCTCAACACTTCAGATAAAATTGAATCCAACGCTCGGCCGAATGGATCCAACGGCCAGTTGGTCACCACGATAGACTCATTAATACACAACGAATTGATATTTATGATCATATTTATTTCATAATATTACGTAATAATTAACTCATTAAATTGTAATAATTAGTATACTTATGTTTGAATATTCTTTGTATTAATGGGCCTACCTCCAGCCTATAAGAGGGGCGTCGTGCCCCTATTGGGAAGAAAAAACTTCCCCATGACTGAATTCTCCGACTACTCCTTTGAATCACATAAATATGTCAACAAAAAAAAGTTATCTTTCAATGCCTTATTATTTCGGACTCTTCATATACTTCCACATTCTTGTCAACTCAAGGGTTTTCCGTTCGGTCAACCCTAGCCTACAAATCAGACATTGGCGCTACCTATAGGAACAAAAAAAAGACAAAAAATTCAGTCTATAACACTAGTAAAGCAACATCCTCATCCAATCTCTCACTATTGGGAATATGGCACCTTAGCTTCAGGAGAAAAAACACCAACTAAAAAGCAAGGCAGGAAAAGGATCCACAAAATATCAAGAAGTCTGGTACTAATGGGGAAGACAACACACTAGGGGGATGGCCCCGTGTTGTAGACTCGACTGCGACACAGAAATCGATTAAAGAAGATAAGAATTAAATGAAGAGAGAGAGAGAGATTTAGAGGGAGATTTTGGGAGAGAGAGGAATTAGTTAGGATTTTCATAATCATCCTCTCTCTAGAATTCCATACATGTATAGTAGAACTCTACAATAATAAGGGCCCGTTAAATAAAATTTGGGCGTAATTATATTAAAACATTTGAGCCAATTAATATAGCCAACCATAGTTGCCGCCCTTATGCTTTATTATTGCTCAACCCGGACTGTCTATCCTGTATCTCTAACTGAAGGTTAGCGATTCCATTTTTATCTTCTTCTTTACTACGATCTCCCTCATGTTCCGTTTTATTTGTTAATTTCATAACAATACTCCCCCCCCCTCTTGAGACCCTTGTCCCCAAGGATCAACCCTTGGAAACATCTTCTTAAGGGCGACCTTTGACATCTAGCATTCAATTATCTCCCATGTTTGGTCCTGCACCATGAATAAGGTTATTGGAGGATCCCTTCATGTCTCATCATTTTGTGTCTCATCATGAATCCCCCGATTGAGGATGGAGATATGGTAAAGCACCCATCTTTATTGATGGGAGGTAGGGTACCTGCTAGGCTGCTACTTCAATCTGTGAATTGATGCAACGATTTAGAAGAGAGACAAGGACTATCCAGTGAATCTTAACATCTTAGGGTAGGTTTAATTTGTAAGCCACCTTACCTATGAGTTAAATAATGTTGTACGGTCCATAGTAGCGTGTTGCCAGTTTCAAGTACACCCTTTCTCCTACTTCAAACTCCCTACCAGTCCTTTTACTATATGCGTATTGTCTCATCCTCCCTTGAGATAATTTGAGGTTTTCCTTTAACTCTTGATTCATTCTCTGCTTGTGAGTAATAAATTCCTTAACATCCATATGGGTCAGATTGGACGAGGTAGGTAGAGATAGTGGAGGAAGGGGTGTGAATATAAGGCTTCAAAAGCAGAAGTTTTAGTGTCAGTGTGATAGTTAATGTTATACTAGTATTCTACCATAAATATCCATTGAAACCATTGTTTTGGGTTTTGACGCATCATGGCCCTTAGATAGGCCTCCAGAAATTGGTTTAATCTTTCAGTTTGTCAATAAGTTTGAGGGTGGTATGAGGAGGTGCATGTAATGATAATGGGAAATACAGACTAATAACTTAACAGAGAGAGATATAATAATGGAGAGGGAGAGAGATATGAGGGGGAGAAAAAGAGATACAGGGGCATTGATAATACTTATTATTTGTATACTTCCTTCCCATCATGAGTACATAAATACTTAATGATTAGCCAAATCATAATAACTGAAATAATATGAAATAAACAAGATAATAAGTCCATTGGTGTAAAATAAGCCCAGTAGTTTAAATCGGCCAATTAAGTAATCTCGCAGTTCGGTGCCTTCCTAGATTATGAATTCTGGGTGAAGGTCGCTTATTCACCATATTTCTCCAATGTGTTTGAAAGTTCGTATCTTTACCAGGCCACCTTCTGTCACTTTCATGATAATACTTCCCTCTTTTTGAGATCCTTGTCCCAAGGTTGTATTCGTTAAGCTAATTTTTTGAATACAACCATTGGTACCAATCCCTTATAAGCTTCTTCTTTGTCATCAGAAGCTTAGAATAAGGTCACTGTTGTTGAACCTTTTTTACTCAGCCCGATCTCCTTGATATGATTGAGGATGGAGATATGCAGAACTCACACGTTTAATCTATGGACGAAAGATTAGAGCGAAATACGAACCTAGAACTAATACATCTCTTTAGGGGTGACATGTGAAAGATTGGGTGTACCTTAGCCCCCTCAAGTAAATTCAATCTGTAAGCTACCTTCCCAATACACCTCAAAATTGTATAGGGCACATAGTAGCAAACCGCCAACTTCTGATTTTCCTGAATTGTATGAATTGTTAGGGAATGAGCCTACACGCATGATTAAACTATTTGTATATGGACGAACATCTAATACTGTCCACAAGTTTTGACATAATAAGCTACCTAGTTTAGTGTGCGCGCATAGGTGCGAGGACGATGATCTGACACGACTTTAGACTCTAGAGAATGTGAGTCGGGTGGAACACTCGTGGTGTGATCACACAAAGGCTGTATATAGAATTGGGGAATCTTATGTGGACCTGACGGCGCTACCACATAGATCCCCAAAAGACCTTACCTTCTGATTAAATGAACTACAAGCATATAAGAGGGAGTGGTCTATAAATCCTAGGTTTTTATTTGGGTGTCGGCACTTGTATAGAGTCAGGTGGCCTAAGGACTGAATTAAAAAGTTGATAATAAAATTCATGATTGATTAAACAATTTTGGAGCGTATAGGCTGGATCAAGTTAAATTGGGCCTACATGCTAGTACTTGAGCTTTCAGGGTTGATATATTAAACACTGATTTTGAGGTGATAGTTAAAGGTATTTATATAAAAATGGCCTACGGGTTGAATATTTGCTGCTCATATGAAATGCTACTGTCCCTGTCCCTTAAAATTTTGCCAAGTTTGACCGGCACAGAGATTAATAAAGTAAAAACTATGTGGTAGAGGTTTGTGCAGAGGAGAGAGAATTATCTGGAACCACAAATTCTTTGCTTAAAAGGAAAGTGACAAAGTTAGTGGGACATCTAAAAAAGGAAAGTTGGCAAAGTTTTAAGGGAAGGAGGGAGTATATATTATATGTATCACCATATTTTAAGGGTCCAATGTCTAAATGCTCATTATATATCTTATAGTATCCCTTTCCCTCGCTAGTACCAGTTGTACTGACCCCTAGCTAGGGCGCCCATTTTTCCAGGTTCGAGCATGTGCTTGCTGCATGCACTTTTACAGATAGTGTGCTTGGGTGAACACTTAATTTGTGCATCCTCATTCTATTTTAAAATTAGTCATAAATGCTCATGGGTTATACTTTTGTCAATCATATTTGTAATTGAACCTTTGTGCCAACAACTTGTCTCTCGTGGGCTAATTACTATTTTAGATATTATTCTCCACTTCTTAGTAATAAAAATGCTTTTAGTTTATTTTATTCTTATGGGATACTTAGTATGGATGATATACATGATGCCTTGTATAACTCAGCAAGAATAGATTGCGGTTGCCCTTAACGGGTTATACGGCGGTTGTCGACGTCATTGGCGGGTCAAGGGTGTGTCAATTTAAGTGATATTAGAGCCTAAGGTTCCTAAACTATACCATGTGAAATCCTCAAAAGTTTTTTTTAAAATAATTTTGGAAAACCATGCACACAGAAATATTATGTACCTAGGAACTTTTGGTACTCGGGTTGCAATGTCTCTAATTGTTAAGATGATGCCCTTAACAATTGGTATGGCGGCAACTAGAGCTATAAGGTATCCGAAGTATTTGTCTTCCAATCGACACTTGATACGAGTCGGTTGACTCTTTCTTAGTTAAAATTGTGCACTATTTCAGAGAGATGAACAAAGCGGCACACCTTCTTGCTCAAATTGGTCGCAAGGGCATGCTAGAGAGTTCCAGAAGCTTCATATACTCCTTCGTGATTATGTTGATGCCAAGAAGGGGGAAGAGAAGCGAGCAAAACAGACAGAGCTGCTCAGAATTGGTTCACAGAGTTCTCCTCTTAGAGGAGTTTTGACATTACTACAAGACTCACCATAGAGCATATTGCCAGGCATTTTCAAGTTCACGGCCAGAAGAAGAAACATGCTAAGAAGTCCAAACCTTCTCTAAATCTGGTAGACTGGCTCTAGAGCAAGGATGTTGACAAAGCACTTCCTCCTCCCCTACTCTCGGACCTCATGAAGAATATGAATCCACGAAAAAGATCACATTTGATGTGGCTTC